TGAACCCAAGTAGATTTAGTGTTCTTTTTAAGTGCACATCTTCCATATACTAAGCATCATTGTAAGCTCTATGGATATACAATGAAAACACCAATGTAACAAGGACGCCACCACCACCAATGATCTCATTACATGTCCTCATGGAGTTTCTGGTCTATTTCATAAAATTACAAACTTTCTTGGAAGACAGCATTTTGCACACCCCAATGAGGTGTGGTCATGTCATAATCTTGTAATTTGTTTTTTCCCTGCATTTTCCCTCCTATCAGGATTTGGAGGGCATGCATGCACTTGTGCTCCGTGTGATTTTCAAGCTTTTGGGGCCAAGATTCTTAGCTGTGTTTGGTTATATGGCATCTAGCTCCCTGTGCAGAGTGATAACCACCCCGACACTGCCCAGCTCCTCTCTGGTGGTCCATTTTTGGGGACCTGCTCCCTGCTTGAGAACTCTGTTCTTTCTTCCTTCTCTATAGGTTGACCATCAGATAGTCTTTTCTAATAATACTATTTATTGAATGCAAGTATCCCTTGCTTTAACAAGTCCATTCTGACCATCTCTTAAAATGCTGCCTTCTATGAGTACTAAGTTAGAATTCTTCTTAGTATAGTGGTTCCATTCCTGGACCTGGTGGCTTAAACTCACGCCAGACACATGCACGTGCAAACCCAAGATCCCGAGAGGAGAATAGTGAAGAGATTATGGCGTGGCCATTCCCCTGGGTGGTGATTTCTCGTTTACACATCCTATAGCAAAAACGTCTCTTCAATTAAAAAAAGAAAAAAAAAAGAATTCCCAATTCCCTCTTAGTATTATATTAGTATTGTTTTAGTATTGTATACTTACTGTCCTATTCAAAAATCTATTGTATGAATAGATAACTTTATGCATGATATAAGGATCATTTCACTCATAATTTACTTATACATTTTTCTTGGTAAAAAAATATTTTACTATTTCAGATTCATGGAAAAAGAGAAAGAGTGCTTATTTTTATTAAAGTTTTTCAGCTCTGAGGTTTAAGGACTTGGCAAGATAAGCTGAGCCTGAATGTCTTAAAAACATCTTACAGTCTTGGGACCAGCAGTTGGCATAATGGCTAGGTCACTGGACTCCCATGTAGCTAGCTGACTGCTGTTGGAGTCCCAGACCTGGTGACTTAAACTCACGCTGGGCACATGTGCATGTGTGCCCAAGATCCCAAGAGGAGAATGGAGGAGAAGGGATTGCTGCATGACCATGCATCCTGGGGCATGATTTCTCACTTTCTGTCTCTATTTCTAGTGAATGTACATGCCTTATAGCAAAAAAACCTCTACCAAAAAAAATAAAAAAGTCTTACAGTCTTTTGATAAGTAAACTTATTTTACAATAATTTGTCATGCTAATGAACAACTTTGAGATATGGATAAGGGGAAAGTTATTTATACTAAAAATTTACACATATCAGACAGTGGTTTTTATGGCCCAAAACTTCCAGACAAAGAGGATCTCCTATCCTTCATACCCACTCCCAAATCAGGTGAATGACTGGACCCATCCAGCATGTGACCATCACCATGGAGGTCAGAGGGATTGCATGTGAAAGCCCCACCTGGGAAAAACCTGGACAAACCCTTCCTGACAGGATAAGCTCCATATCCCAACCCCTGCCCCAACTCCTTTTTTGCAATCTATTTTCCAGGACCACCTTCCTGCTTGGGACCTCTGTTCTTCCTTCTCCTTCAATACACTCTCCACTTTGCTATCAAAAAAAGAAGAAGAAGAAAAAGAAAAACATTACACATGTCAGTTGTCAGTCTAATGATCCACAAGGCATCACTAGTTTACTTGGGTTTTCTATATTCTCTGAAGCTAGGCCTCATGAGCACTGAGTATATTATATATCCAATTATCAAACAGAGATTGACCTTTATTTGTAGCATGGAAGCTGATACAAAATGAAATATGTGTGAAAGGTGGTTTCAAGAAACAAAAATACAGTATTTTCTGTCAAATTGCAGAGTCTTTGGATTCTTTTTTCTTGGACCAAAGAACATAATCAGTGACCTTGAATGAATGATGGAGACACAGATTTTTAGAATGACTTCTTGATTTATAGGCAGAGCTTTTCTGAACAGTGAGGAAAAATGATCCTTGCTATTTTTGATTATTTCTTCATCATTCATATTTTACATTCTGCATCTGCCCTGAGGCTATTTCCATGGATACATTTTTATAAACTAGAAAAAAACACATGACAATATATGAAAAATAACTTGATTTCTTGCTGTGGTTTCCCTGCCTCTTTGGTGAAAATAATAATTACCAAAATAATCACAAACAATGTAAAGTACGTCAACTATTTTTAAAATGTTGCTAAAACTTTCAAAACTCAGGTAGGATATTTGTTGTTTAGTAACTTATTTTTTCCCCCTGTGGAAACTTCCTTCATAGGACTGGAGAAGGGAAGTCAGTACAGTTTCCAAGTGTCAGCCATGACAGTCAATGGTACTGGCCCATCATCCAACTGGTATACAACGGAGACTCCAGAGAATGATCTAGATGGTAAGAACTTTCCCTAATCACTGTCACTCGGATATCATTCTTCTTTGTTTCTTTCATTTCAAAGAGTCCCTTAAAAAATATGATGAACTCCAATTTTGAGCACATTGATTTTTTCTACATCTTTAGGTACAAAACAATACAAAACAAAACACAATACAACAAAACCCATTTATGAATAGTCTTCACCAAAACCATAGAGATAGTTGCCATTCCATGAATAGAGTGGCATTAATTATGGACCTAATTACAAGTTATTTTTTTCTCCTGGATAATCCAAAATGAGATAGTTTTCCATTTATTTTATTTTCCATAATTAACCTTAACCATTTTCTTCACAAGAATTTCTGTAATTTCTGATACTAATTATGAGACATAATTGTATTACATAATTTCTCTTGCTTTTTTATTATGCTTCTATAAAACATTGATATGCATTTTTGACTTGTTTATGATGCTACCTTTAATATTTACACCATATTTTCATGATATAAACAAAAACCTTTGTGTAATTGATAGTGATCTTGAGGCATTTATGGATATTAAGACTCATAAAATTCATATATCAAATATAAGCAGAAGCCTCAAAATTAGCAGATAAATTGCTCTGGAAATAAAAATGTTATGGCTAAACAAACAAACAAAAAAAAACAATCAAGAGAAATGGGTAAAGGAAAGCAATAACAATGACAAAAGTTTAATAAAATAGTCATAGACCACACAGAATTAGAGTTATACCAGAAAGAGAATTCATAAAAATGAGAGGCACTTGGAAAAGAAGTTAGGATCACCATACTTAAAGCTAGATAATCAAAACTGGGACCAAGAAAAAGAAGATAAAAAACATTATATATTGAAAATGTGATGACACAAAATGACTGTCTAAATAACTGGTAATGAAATTCTCTTATTCCTTAAGCGATAGACCTGAAATTATTCAAATATAAATGGAAAGCAAAATTTCTGTATCATTTCCTTTTCCTCTCCTTTTTCTCTCTCCCTCCCTCCCCTGTCTTTATTTTTATCTTTGTTCTTCTTCCATTACCCTTTGTCAAGTGTTTTCTTCCTTCCTCTTTATCAAACTCTACTTTTTTATTCTTCTCCTTTGTCTCTTTCTTCGTCTCTTTAAATAACTCACTGTCACTCATAATTTTACAATAATCACAGATTTACTATTTCTACCATAATTAAGGTGACCGTAAAATAATCAATAGATGCTATTTCCATAATAATGATAATACTACCATGTGACAACATCCTAATTCAAAGACTATAGGAAACTCACTAAGCTTCAGCTACTGCACATAGCTCTGAGTACACATTAAAATGAGAAAGACACGACTTTTTTTTCTCATGGAGCTTAGAGTAGAGCAAAAAAAAGAGACAGATTTTAGGTGAGTTCAGTGGAAATTGTCATTGTTACAGTTCAAACATAATTGGATATTTGCAATACCATGTGGTTCAACATAGGATGTATATAGAGAGAAGGAGAGTAATTGATAGGTGGGCAGACAGACCTATGGAATTCTTAGATTTGAACTGAGACTTGAAGGATGAATAAGAATTAGCTATGCAGAAGAGGATGTTCATTAGAAATGAAGAAGGGAAGAAAAGTAAAATATAGGTTTGAAGTCAAGACAGTAGACTGGTAGGGAACTGGAAAAAGACTCTAGAGGCTGAAACACTTAAATAATGTGATGCAGTTTGTAAGAGAGGCTAGTTCTATACTGGCAAGACCAAATTAAAGATTTTCAATGCTGGCTTAAGAAAGTCGTTACTTACTTTCCTCTGGACAAGTCATTAGAGAATTTTTAAAAAACTGGCAATTTAAGAGCCTGCAAGTGGCATGGTGATTGGGGCACTGGACTCCCACACAGCTTCCTGGGTTCAAATCCTGAACCTGGTGACTTGAAAATCATGCTGGGCACATGTGCATGTATGTTTAAAAACTCAGGGAGAAAATGGAAGAAAAGGGATTGTGGCCTGGCCATACCCCCAGGAGGTAATTTCTCACTTTCCTTCTCACAGTCTCTCTCTGACTCTTTAGCAAGTGCACACACCCTATGGCAAAAAACTTAAAAAAATAAAATAAAATAAAGATAGTGACTTAATTAGAATTGTATTTTTAAAAGTGTACTTTAGCTGAAGCATTAAAAAAAGCATTTGTATTCAAAATAGGCAACATAGTTATGACAACCCCAGAGGAGCTGGAGGTAGGAGGTTTACCTGGCAGTCTGAGCAATGGGTTGGTTTCCTGATAAAGAAGTGAGCTTTAGAAAATAATTCCTTCATGACCAAAAAATAAATAAATAAATGAAAATAGTTACGTGGTAGTCTGAGTGATTTATTATGCAGTTCTTTTTGTAGTCAGCAGAACATAGTGATCTGTTCTGTACTTCTCCTTAGAATAGTTACTAAATAGAGCTGATGCTTATAGCTACAGTTGCTTTGAGGCTCAATACAGCCAGCTTTTGGCTGTGGAAACTTAGCCAATGTGACTGTGTCTTTTACCCTGTGTGCTCAATATCTCCTGCCTTATTTTCCGGGAGTCACACATTCCTAAGAGAGATGTAAAAGGGGTATATATTGTACATCGACCAGACCACAGAGGAAAAACATAGAGACTTCATTAAAAAGAAAAATATAGGGAACCAGCAGTTAGCCTAATGGCTATGTTGCTGGACTCCCACATAGTTGACTGCGGTTCACGTCCAGGACCCAGTGGCTTAAAACTCACACCGGGCCCGTGTGCGTGCGTGCCCAAGATCCTGAGAGGAGAATGGAGGAGAAGGGATTGTGGCGTGACCATCCCCTCTGGGGGGTGATTTCTCGCTTTCTGTCTCTATGTCTCCGTCTGTCTGGCAAGTGCACGTGCCCTATAGCAAAAACCTCTCTCAAAAAAAAAAAAAAAAAAGAAAGAAAGAAAAAGAAAAATATAGTGATTTCCTTTCCTTTCCCAGACCCTACCCTATCCTACCTGTAAGTGGGGACTAACTCCTATCTCAAGAGGGGCTCCCAACAGGGTTATTAAACCAAGATCCACACTGTGCATAGCTGACCTAAACTGCAGGAGTGTGCACACAACCCAGCCTGCTCAGGGAGGCCCCAGATGCAAACCCATGGCTCCTCCCTTTTGGGTTCCCCTGCTCTACAGCTACTTTACTACCAGCCCCTGAGAAATAACTTCTCAGATGTATCTGCCTATACTTTATCCTCTCTTCTCCACTTATGAAGTATATTTTATTAGCCTTACTTTACAGAGGAATAGAAGGCTAGGAAAATTTAACTAACTTGATCAAGTCAGCCAACAAGTATGGAGCTGGAACTCAAGACTAGGTTCGTGTCTTAAGGTTCAGTGCCATTGATCAGAGCAAAGCCTCCATCTATCCTGTAGAACTGACCTGGTGACAATAAAGACAGTGATTCAAGGCAAACGATTCTAAGAAATGAGGTCATATCATTTACTCAAACCTAAGGGGCTATCTCTCTTACTGGAAGGAGTGACAATAAATGGAGCAGAGGTGCCGAAGGTCCTACAAAATATCCAGAATGAATGGGACTCTCCACTTGACTTACGTGCCCTTTCTCCTGACTGCCAATGAGTCACCACTAAGTGAAACCAAGATGTAAAATCACAGCTTTGTGGATAGCACAGAACTCCCATTTAACTCCATGATTTTCATATGCATGCGATCTAAATATAACCCAATTGATATATTTATTTTAATCAGGGATCTCTAAGTCATGCTTATGGATAGAGTCTCAATAAATGCTTCATTGGATTTGTTTGAACTTTTCCACGTTCTAGGTTTAATAATACCTCTCTTCTACAGGCAGCATCCTTCCTCACTTTTTCCCTGTTTTAGTACTGATGCAGTTATTATGAAATTAATTAATATAGTTGAGAACCTACAGTGTGCTGAGTCTTGGCGAGTATAAAAATGAAAAGGAAAAGAACATTTCTGTTGAGGCATAGACAGATAATGGCTTCACTGATTGGAAAATCTTCATGGAAAAAACTAGAATGAAAGTTTTCAGGGAAGGTGATTCCGACCACTAGGGTATATGGGACAGCATAATAAGCATTCTTCATAAAACGCTTTTAGGGAATCATTTCTACCACTGTTAGTTCTGATTGCACCCTCATTCACCCAAATGTTACTCTTTCACCAGTCTATTATCTTAGCATATTTCAACACTTCCCAAATATCGCCTCTTTTCTAATTCTTCTCTCTCTCCATCTGGATGGTAACTGTTAAGAAAATTCTGTTCTATCCCATACACATTAGCAATCTGGGGGAAAAAAAGTAAATAATTAAAAGAAATTTAATAGAGTTGATGCTTCTTGTACATAACACTATTATAAGTTATGATTTGAGACTATTCGTGTGTAAACAAAATGGAAATTAACAGCTGTTATAGGACTTTCAACTGTGAAAAAGTGTGAGACTGTTATGTTTCACTTGTGGTAAGAAATGAATAGTATCAAGGCTTTCTCAGTATTGACCCGTGATCACTTTCCACTGGGACTTGACCTTAAACCATTTCGATTTCCCTTCCTTCAGGTTTTCTTCTTTTAATTGCACCGTACAAAAAAAGTGTGACTCTTTATACTGACAAATGGAGAAGCTCAGTAGACACTAGTATCTCCAAAAGAAAACTCAACCTTTTGACTCGCTCTTTTTCTTTCTCTGTGCGTTGTGTATATACTTATGTGACAGAGATTTTTTAAAAATAATCATCTCCTTTAATTTATTCATGTAAATGCTTAAATTGTAAAGCAGAAAGTACTTCTAACAAAGTTTTCTTGGCTCATGTTGGGAAACATTGAATGCTAAACATTCCAAAGTGAGAATTTCCACAGAAAATTGTTTTGATTTTTCTTGAATTATGAATAAGGGAGAAACAATCATTTGGAAAACCATGTGAAATGGGAGGCATTCTTTGCTAGAACCAAAGAAAGTTACCTTGGAAGGGAGCTATACAGCATTAGCATTTCCTTG